CAAAAAAATTGTTCAGAAAACATTCAAATTCGGGTGTTTTCAAAATGTTTATTTCAACGTATGCATCGACAAAATCTAGAGTTTTTGTAGCGAAATAATCCTTTAGAGATATATAGTACATGATTTTGAAAAGAAGTGTTGACCTTTCATTCAGTTATCGCGGTTTTCAATTATTTATTCAAAATAAATGCAACAAGTTGTTCTGTTTTTTTATTGTTTTGATACTAATTCTGACATTACAAGCCAAACAGGTAGACCTCTATACTTGCAATTTTTTCAAAGTTGACCTACCTTCTCTTCATTGTACCATGTTTGTTAGTCTTTGGGAGCGAAAATCAGGAACTGGAACTTTTTGATTTAATTTTAAATAGTTGCTACATTTCGCAATCACAGAGGTGGATAATTTGTCATCTTCAATTTTATGAGTTGGTAAGTGTGTATGTGTGTAATGTAGCATCAAATTTTAAATAAGTTTAAAAAATACATTTAATTTGAAATAAAAAACGTGGACCTACACAGACAACTTTCTATTAAAGGCTGTAATATCCATTACGAACATCAAGTACCAAATTTGAAACCTTTGCAGTGAATAATGTCGCTTAAATCACCAATATACCTAAAATAGGGAGGCACCATTATATAGGGGCTGTACTAAAACGTCGGCCCATTTTCAATACCAACAGTTTTGCAGACATAATATACAATTGAGTAAAATTTGATCAACCTATTTCATTTTGTCCGGAAGCTAGAGTGATTTCCACAACGGATAGACGGACAGATGGACAGACGGACGGACATCGCTAAATCGACATAGAATTTTAAGCTGATCAAGAATATATACTTTGTGGGGTCTAAAATGTATATTTCGATGTGTTCCAAACGGAATGACAAACTTAATATGCCCTCCATACTATTGTGGAGGTTATAAAAAGTCTTAAAAAAGTGGTTCAGCAATATTTTTAAAGGTTTAAAAATTTAAAAAAATCTGTTTCATTTTAAAATAATTTGTTAAAGAGCCATACAAAATCAGAAAATGTAGATTTTTTCAGAATTAACCCTGGTTTTAAAAATATTTTATCATTTACCAACAACAACAAAATTTTGCAACAACAAAATTTTATCATTTATATTATAAATGTAGAGAAGTTTGATTTTTCTAAGATTTTTTCAAGGCATTTCAAACCCAGCAAACGTAGGTTTTTTAGGAATATATTTCCAGGGGACAATTAAAGCTATTTGAGGACCAAACGTGAATATTTGATGAGTATTTTTTTAAGGTCCATTCAACATCCAAAAAAAATTAAAATTGTAGATTTTATAGGAAAAAGCCTTCGAATGTGTATTTTCTAGGGCCTTGAGGCAATCAAATTTTAAAGAACCAAAATTGAATTTTTGAATAATATGAGGATTTTTCAAAACTAATGTTAAGGATCAATCTTTAATTTCCAATTTTTTTTTTTCAAGGACTAATTGTGGAATCTTGAACGATATTTTTCAAGAACAAAACGTGGATTTTTAAAAAATAATGCTTCTTCCAAGACAAAACTTTAACTTTTTAAGGGTCCAGCGTAGATTTTGAAAGATCATTTTTTCAAGGGCGAAATGAGGATTTTTAAAGATGAAACGTGGATTTTGAAGGAATATTTTTTCAAGGACCAAACTTGGATTTTAGAGGAACATTTTTCAAGGACCAAAATTTGATTTGGAAGGAACCTTTTTTTTTGAAAGACCAAACCTGAATTTTGAGGAATATTTTTTCCAAAAATCAGACATGCATTTTTAAAGACAGCTTCTTCAAAAACTTGGATTTTATAAGAATATATTCAAGGGCCCGACGAAGATTTTTTATTATTATTTTTTAAGAACGAATATATTTCCAGGGGACAATTAAAGCTATTTGAGGACCAAACTTGAATAATTGATGAATGAATTTTTTAAGGTCCATCCAACATCCAAAAAAATTAAAATCGTTGATTTTATAGGAAAAAGCCTTCGAATATGTATTTTCTAGGGCCTTGAGGCAATCAAACGCGGATTTCAACGAATATTTACTAAATGTGTGTGCTTTTAAATTTTAAAGAACCAAAATTGGATTTTGGAGGAGTATTTATTCAAGGGTCACATGAGGGTTTTTCAAAACTATTTTTAAGGATCAATCTTTAATTTTCAAAGTATATATTTTTTTTCAAGGACCAAACGTGGATTCTTGAACGATATTTTTCAAAAACAAAACTTGGATTTTTAAATAATGTTTTTTCCAAGACCAAACTTTAATTTTTTAAGAATATTTTTAAGGGTCCAGCGTGGATGTTGAAAGATCATGTTTTCAAGGGGGAAATGAGGATTTTTGAAGATGAAATGTGGGTTTTTAAAGGAATATTTTTTCAAGGTCCAAACTTGGAACATTTTTCAAGGACCAAAATTTGATTTGGAAGGAACATTTTTTTTGAAAGAACAAACCTGGATTTTGAAGGAATATTTTTTCCAAAAAAAAAAAAAAAACAAACAGCCATTTTTAAAGACAGCCTCTTCAAAAACTTGGATTTTATAAGAATATATTCAAGGGCCCGACGAAGATTTTGAATTATCATTTTTTTAAGAACGAAATGTGAATTTTTCATAGACGAAACGTGGTTTTTGAAGGAATAGTTTTCAAGGATCAAACGTAGATTTCAGAGGAACATTTTTCAAGGACCAAACTTAGATTTTGAATGAATATTTTTGAATGAACTAAGCGTAGATTTTAAATAATATTTTTTTCAAGAACAAAACATGAATTTTTAAAAAAATTTCTCTTTTTTTAAACTTTAAAGAGTCAAAGTTTAAAAAAAGGGAAATTCCTTAAAAATTCACATTTTGTTCGTGAAAAAAATATCATTTAAAATATATATTAAGGGCCTCGACGAGGATTTTGAAGTATCATTTCTTTTTGGAGGACGAAATGTGAACTTTTCAAAGACGAAATGTGGATTTTGAAGGAATAGTTTTCCAAGGGCCAAACGTGGATTTTTGAAAGATGTTTGTTCAACGACCATCCTTGGATTTTTGAAAAATTATTTTTAAAGGACCACACTTTGATTTTGAAAGATATTTTATAGGACCCAACGTAAATTCTTAAGAAAAAAATGCAACCATAAAAGTTGGATACAAAAGAAAAAAATTAAGTACTAAAGCCACCGAACGTATATATTCAAAAATAATTTTCAAAGAAAAGACGTAATTTGTTATTTAAAAAAATGCAAGTGCACAGATCGGAAGGTATTTTTACGAATATATATAGGTCAGTAGGGCTTTGAAAAAAAAAATAGTTAAAAAATCTCTGTGTACCGGTCACAAGGTCTTTGAAAATTGTAATCCACGGTTATTGGTCTACAGATCCTTGAAATAATATAAATATTATTAAAACCAGTAAAGAAAGTCCTAAAGTCGGGCGGGGCCGATTTTATGATACCCTACACCACTTTGCTAATTTAGTAGAGCTCCGCATAACAAGTAAAAGTTTTTATGGGAGAATTCAATCATACACCCTATGATTATAATTATAATTTAAAATTCAAAGGACTAAATATGCCGAATCATTTGTATCTTTTAAATTCGGACTTGTATTGCCAATTTGGTGCGAAATTAATTTGAAATCGGATAAAAATATATATGGGAACTATATCCAAATCTGAACCGATCTCGATGAAATTTGGCAAAGATATTTCTGAGCTGTATTTGATATATTTCCCTGAATATCGTTGTTACGGAGTGCATATTACGGTTGTGGGTAACACATATAACAAATCGGATGAACAATATATATGGGAGCTATAACTATATCTCAACCGATCTTCACCAAATTTGGCATACTACCTTCTAGACTCAATTCGGTCGTATGTGCCAAATTCCATCCCATTTGGACAAATATTAGACGTTTGGTGCACAATAAATGGTAAATCGGACGAAGTTATATATGGGAGCTATATCCAAATCTGAACCGATCTCGATAAAATTTAGCAAAGGTATTTCTGAGCTGCATTTGATATATTTCCCCAAATATTGTTGTGGGCTGCGGAGGACAAAAATAACAAATCGGATGAACAATATATATGGGAGCTATAGCTATATCTGAACCGATTTCGATCAAATTTGGCATACTTATTTTCAGGCCTAATTCGGTTGTATGTGCAAAATTCCATAATATTCGGGCTGATATTACACGTTTGGTGCACAATAAAATGCAAATCGGACGAAGATATATATGGGAGCTATATCTAAATTTTTACCGATTATCTCCAATTTCAATAGGGTTCGTCCTTGGGCCAAACAAATGTTGTTTGCAAAATTTCATCTCAATCGGATAATAAATGCGACCTGCATTTTGTTCACAAGAATACATGGACAGACGGACGGACGGACTGACATGCATAAATCAACTCAAAAAGTGATTCTATGCAGATCATCAAAAGGAACTATGGGTCTATCTCGTTTCTTTTTGCCTGTTACAAACAAATGCACAAAGACATAATACCCTGACCACCTTGTGGTGTAGGGTATAAAAATCCAGCGTCTATCTGTCCTTGAAGAAAATATATAAAAAAAAAATATTTTTATCGTTCAGAACGTCCTTGAAAAAAAAAATATTCACTAAACGCACCAAATGCGAAATTGTTCTGATTTTCTTTTCTAGGACCCTGGCCATTAAACAGTTTTTTAATATTTTTTTCATATTTTTAATATTTTTAATATTTTAATGCCACTAAACATTAATTTTGTTTTTAATTTTCCCTACTCCCGTGTTTTAATTTTAATTTGTGCATTAAACTAATTACTCTATAAAAAGAAAATCGAGCAAAAAACTCAAATATTTCATTCTTCATTCCACACCAAAATGTCATTACTTTCTGCTGCATGCCATGGAAATGCACAAAGAACTGGTGCAGAAGAAATAAAAGAATTTGTCATACAAGCATCAGACCATGTGATCCAACAACAATGGCATTAACATTTTTCAAAACCTTGCTTGCGATTGTGTTAGTGGGCGAGGCTTGGTTGCACCGCATCGTTGATGGAATGCATTGTTTGCAGGGGCATAATGAGATTTCACACCGAACACATTACGGGGCGTTGATGATGATGACGGCAACGACGACAATGACGATGATGAATAGATGAACATTTTATGGCATTAAAGTTAACATATCAAGCTATGAGAAAAAAACGAAATTTATTTACCTCCCCCCAAAACGATGTTGGGAAGCTGGGAGAATAAGGGAGGATTCCAGGATGTGCTCCTTGCTTAGATTTTTAGCATTTTTGTTTTTGTTCTTTGCATATTTGTGGTTAAGCAGAACAAACCACAAAATACAAATGGAACATTTTGAAATAGAACACTGTGTTTTGTATGCCACAAAAATGGAAATGGAAATTTTCATTCATGCAACAAATGTTGCATGACCACAATCGTTAAGGAGCAAAGAATAAAATTTACATTTGAGCTAAAAAATATTGAAAATGGAAATGTAGGGATTTGATAGGGGATTAAATATATGGACAGTCCTCGGAATGAATCCATGTTTTGTGGTGAATGAAAAATATTCTTAAAAATTCGTTTTTGGGGCTCTAATGGACCTTGAAAAATAATCTGTAAATAAAATCCACTTATTTGTTCTCATAACATATTCCTAAATATTTACGTTGTGTGGCCCAAATAGTCCTTTGAAAAATATTTTTAGAAAATACAAATTTAGAACATATTCCTGAAAAATCAATAGAAATATTATTAAAAACCCAAGTTATGCCATAATCAATAGTCCCTGAAAAAATATAATCTTAAAATCCACATTCTTACTTTATCGTATTTTTAAAAAAATATGATTTTTTTCAAAATATTGAAGCATATGTGGGGGAGGAACAAGGATATATGGTCCGTTCTCTACCATCTTTATAAATGATCATGTGTTGATGAAAATATTGAGATGTACCAAGTCTGAATGGAATAGGATGTTATTTTCGCGTTTTATGAGCTTCATGGATATTCAAAATTGTGAACCTTTGTGGGGGTTGTACCAGAAGGAGTGGACCGATATATCCCATCTTCACAGCAGATCTTGTGTAAGTAGAATTAATGAGATGTGTGAAATATGAAGGGAACCGAATGCTTATTTCGGATTTTATATTCAAAATTTTGACGGAACGGAAGGAATGGTACGATCTCTACCATCTTTATAAAAGATCTTGTGTTGATAGAAATATTCAGATGTACCAAGTCTGAATGGAATCGGATGTTAATTTTCAAGGATATTCAAAATTGTGAACCTTTGTGGGGGTGGTACCAGAAGGAGTGGACCGATACATCCCATCTTCACAGCAGATCTTGTGTAGGTAGAAATAATGAGATGTGTAAAATATGAAGAGAATCGAATGCTTATTTCGGATTTTATATTCAAAATTTCGACTCCTTGTAGTGGAGGAACCGGAAGGAATGGTTAGATCTCTACCATCTTTATAAAAGATCTTGTGTTGATGGAAATATTCAGATGTTCTAAGTCTGAATGGAATTGGATGTTAATTTTCATCGATATTCAAAATTTTGATCCTTTGTGGGGAGGACCAGAAGGAGTGAACCGATAAATTCCGTCTTTACAGCAGATCTTACATTACTGAAAATAATGGGATGTGTGAAATATGAAGGGAGCCGGATGCTTATTTCGGATTTTATGATCGTTTGGGTTATTCAAATTTTTTTACAGTTTGTGGGGGTGGTACCAGACGGAGTGGACTGATATATTCCATCTTTACACCAGACCTTCGATTAATAAAAATATTGTGATGTGTGTAATTGAAAGACAATCCGGCTCTTACATCACATTTTATAAGAGTTATAATTATTCAAAATATTGACCCTTTGGGGGGAGGTAGTTGATGGAGTGACCGATATTCTCTATTTTCTCACCTGACCTAGCACTGATGCAAATATTCGGATTTGCGCAGTTGGAGCAGAATCGGATTATTCTTTTCTCTTTCTGTGCAGTAAAATATTTTCTTTGAACATTTTTATATTTTGTGCGGGAGGTACCAGACGGAGTGGAAGTTTAATAATAATATTACGATATGCCAAGTTTGGACCGAATCGAATACTCTCTTCGAGAGTTATCGTGCGCTCCAGCCAGACAGACAGACGGACGGACGGACGGACATCGCTAGATCGACTCCAAATGTCCTGAAATGGATTTGGTCCAAAGAGGTCTAGGGTCTAAAACCGTTTTTTCGATGAGGCACGTTTTGGCCGTAGCGGATATATGAGGGTATAAAAATTCAAGTGTTGTGTCTCTAAAAATAATTACCTTATGGATTCATTAGTCCTTGAAATTATTCCTAAAAATCTAAGTTTAAGGACTCCAATAACCTTTGAAAACCCCCCAGTTTTGTGACTCCAATTGTCCTTGCAAAAATATTCATACAAATCCTCTTTTTAAGACTCCAATAATCCTTGACAAAATATAAGTTACTATCAACGATTGTTTCTCTTTTGGTCCTTGAAAAAAAATCCTCAAAATCCACGTTTGGTGACTCCAAAAGCCTGAGAAAAAATACTTTCAAAGATCTACGTTTTAGTTTTAATAGCCCTTCAAAATATTGTTTAACATCTAGGTTTTAAGCTCTGTCGGTTCTTGATAGATATTCTGCGTTTTGTGGCTCTATAGGTCCCTAAAAGTTTTCCTATAAATCAACACTATTTGTGGCCCTGGTGGTCCTTGAAAATATGTTCATAAAAGTTCTCAATTTGCTGATCTTTTCGTTCTTGAACAAAATATTCCACAAAAAATTCCCAATTTTTTGACCTTTTAATGTTTGAAAAAATATTCCTTAAAATCCATGTTATGTGCCTCCAATAGGGAGTTTCAACAAATATTATGGAAAATACAGGTTTGGTAGCTTTGTTGGTTCCTTGAAAAAAATATTCCTTAAAAAACCAATAGTCCTGAAAAAATATTTTTAACAAGTAAAAAACACTTAGTTTGGCCGAGCCGAACTTTCAATACCCTCCACGATTTGGAACGAATTTGGAAATTTTCAATAAAATACAATCCATTAAAAATTCTATTAAAATCTCAAAAATACTGAATATAGCCGTTATATTGGGGTCTATACGAAGACGTGGACCTGCATTGGCAACTTTTATCATAAGCCATTACAATATTCAAATACGAAACTTCAAAAAAATCCGGTGAATAATGTCGCTAAAATCATCAAAATACCGAATATAGGAAGGAACCTTTATATCGGGGCTATACAAATACCTGCATAGACAGTTTTCTGTTACAGGCTGTAGTACCTATTAGGAACTTCGAATATGAAATTTCAAACAATTTCGGTGAATATTGTACCTAAAATCGTCAAAATATCGAATATAGGAAGGAACTGATATATGGGGCCTATACGAAGACCTGGACCTGCATAAACAATTTTCTTTCATAGACTGTAGTTCTCATTACGAAATTTAAAATAACTCCGGTAATAATTTCGCTAAAATCATCAAAATTCCGAATATTGGAAGGTATCGTTATATGGAGGCTATACGAAGATATGTGCCTGAATACGAAATTTTTTGTCCTAGGCTGTAGTGCCCGTTACGAATTCCAAATAAGACATTTCACAAAAAAACTCCTTTGAAAAATGTCCCAAAAATCTTCAAAATACCGAATATCGGGGGGTCCGTTGTAAGTTGGGTATCGTGGACCTGTATAGACATTTATCTTTCAGGGTGTAAAGTGCTTAGAAAGATTTTTAGACAATTCCATTGAAAAATGTAGCTAAAATCGTTAAAATACCGAATATAGGGACGTATCGTTAAATGGGGGATATACATATTCGACGGACCCATGACTCTTTGGGCCCATTCCAATCAACGAGGCTTGTCCGCAGGCAACATTCTTTGCGTCAATTGAATTTTGTACGAGAACAAATGCAAATCAATGCGAATAATCCGTTGCCATGCCCAACTGCTGAGAACGGCGTTTTTGGGATGTTCTTGGGGACCTTTCAACACTGGCTCGTACGGCAGCGATATTCTCGGCCGATCGCCTTGGTCGACTTTTATATGGCCTCTTCGGATTAGAAAGAGCCTTACCAGTCGAAAATTTTTCGTATAAACGCTTAACGTAGAAGGCGCACTTCTCACATATTTTAATGTTTTAAAAGATCGTCGAGTTTTCACAATTGACTTCTTCTGTTGAATGTAAATTTCAACTATTTCAGAGCGCTCGCGTGGCGTGTATTGGTTCATGGTAAAAATCTGCTTGGACTGACGCTTCAAACGCGGTATGTCATTAGGCGATGTGACATCTCTGTCAAAAGTTATGGCGTTGCCAGATGTGTCCGTCGAATATGGACAACCCTGTACCATATCGTGGACCTATATAGGCCATCTTCGAATTGAACCTGCCTTCAGACAGAAGACTTATCTGTGTAAAATTTTAGCTTCCTATCCTTATTCGTTTTGACTCTAGCGTGATTACAACAGACGGACGTACAGGGTTAAATCGTCTAAGTACTTTACGCTGATCAAGAATATATATACTTTGTTATGTCTAAAATTATTATTTCGCTGAGTTACAAACGGAATGACGAACTTCATATACCCTCCATACTATGTTTGGTGGAGGGTATACAAAATTTAAGCTTTAAGGCGCCAGTTGTGCTTGAAAAAATATTCTTTAAATTTACTTTCACCGATATACCCTGACAAAAATACTCTTAAAAATTCACAGTCTCAGGTGGTCCTTTGGTCAGGTGGTTCCTACATATCCATGTTTTGTCCTTCAAAAAATATTTTAAAAATCCACCTGATTTTGCATACATTTTTTGCAGTTTTGTTAGTCCTTTAAAAAACTTGTTTTGTAGCCTTGAAGGTCCTTAAAAAAATTCTAAAAATCAAAAACAAGCAGCTCTATTGGTCCTCAAAAAAAGAAATTATTTTAAGCTCCCATGGCTCTTGAAAAGTATTTTTGATATGTCATACTCTATGCCATACTCCATCTCTTGTCTTACCCATCCCCCAAAAACATCATCATTTCTAATTTGCCAAACCACAAAACTTGGTCTTCATTTGTCAATTTTATGTGAGTAACAAAAAAGTAACAAGTGCCACTTGTTTTTCTCCTTGTCGTCATCGGTTTATTCCTAGAAATGGAGGAAAAAATAACCTGTAACATTGTCCTGCATCCTTGTCAGTTGCCGAAATGTTCCATTCTTTTCTGGTTTTTAGGTGTTGAAATGAAATGTTCTCTGATTGTATCTCTCTCTCTATTATTCCTCTCTGTTCCCAGTAAGAATATCAATGTGTAGTTAAGTGACAGTTAATTGACACACACATACACACACTTCCATAGACATAGACATACAGACAATTTAATTATAATTGTGTTTTTGTTTCTGTGGCAAATGAATTGGTTTTGTTTTGGAATTTTGTAAAAAGATAACTCGACATGAATTCGTAATTACTCTGAGAGGGAAAGAGAGAGAAGACATGTGTTGATGTGTGTGGGCAATGAATTTTCTATATTAAACAAATTAGTTAAATTTTGGATAATTCAAAAACATTGAATGAAGTAGGTAAAGGATGTGGTCACATATTTGGCTTTTGGGCTATCAGAGTAACTAAAAGACAGTTTTAAGGGATATATTTTTTTAAGGAATATCAAGTGGATTTAGAATTTTTCGAAGACTTTCAGAGCTACCAAACAGGGTCTTTAAAATATACAGGGCGAGATGAAAAAACTGCAACCAACTTCAGACTGCTCTAATTTCTAAGCCACTCGTTCGACAGCTGTTTAAATTATTCCAGTGACAGTTCATTATATTGTTTACAAGCGTACAAAAGCATTTTGGTGAGAGTTTTCCAGAAAAAAAGTTATTCGTAATGGAATTCAAGCGTGATAGTGTGATTTTTTTATATTTGGCTTGAAAACTACAAGTGGCTATCGTTAGAGCACTTCAGCATTAACTCTTTACCGTGATACTGGTAGCGTATCCCGACGTCAAGAAAGTGAACGGAAGAAAACAGCAACATCAGCAGAAATGGCTCGAAAAATGAAGAAGCGACTGCACATATCGCACTATTCCATTCGGCAAATATTTAAAAATGAGCTCAGCTGATAATGGTCGGCCACTAGAACTCAAGCGCCGGCCGTGGTGGTGGTGTGGGCCGCCATAACAGCCGATGGTCGCTCTCCGCTCATATTAATCGACCATGCCATCAGAATAAAGGCCGCAAAAATATTCTGGAGGGTATATTAAAGTCTTGGGCACACAAACATTTTGGCCGCAGACCCAGGACATTCCAAGAGGACTCAGCACCATCGCACTCAGCACGCTTAATTCCTTGCTTAATTTCCAGTGCACAATGGCCACCAAAAATCCGGATACCAATCCGTTGGACTATTGTGTCTGGAGTATTTTGGAAAGCAAAGTTGGCACTGAAAAATACCAAAGTGTCGATCATTGAAGGCCATAATTCGGGCCAAAGGTGACCAATTCGAACAAAACTAAACCTATTCTAAAATTTGATGATATTTCCGATATTTTTATACCCTCCACCTTGGAAAGGAGGGTATATTAACTTTGTCATTCCGTTTGTAACATCCTTAAATATTCGTCGTAGACTCCATAAAGTATATATATTCATAATCAGCATACGATTCTAAGTCGATTTAACGATGTCCGTCTGTCTGTCCGTCTGTCTGTTGAAATCACGATACAGACCACATTATTTGACGTAGAGCGTCAAAATTTAGCAGAGCAATTTGTATTGTGTCTAGGATGGTTGGTATTGAAAATGAAATATATCGGTTCACGTTCTGGTATAGTCCACATATAACGGTACCTCCCGATATTCGGTATTTTGATGATTTATGCCACATTTTTTCACGGATTTGTCTGAAAATTTGTATTTGTAGGTCATAACAGGTCCCTGTACGTGTAGCAAAACATTGCATGTGTAGGTCCACGATTTGGTATAGCCCCCATATAAAGGTACCTCCCAATATTCGGCATTTTAATGGTTTTTGCCTCATTTTTGCACTGATTTGTCTAAAAATTGGTATTTGTGGGTCATAATAGGTTCTAGCTCCGTTGGTGAAACATTGCATGTATAGGTCCACGATTTGGTATAGCCCCCATATAACGATACCTCCCAATATTCGGCATTTTAATGGTTGTTGTCACATTTCTTCTAGTGTTTCCTTTACCCTAAGGTGGAGGGTATTAAAAGTTTGGCCCGGCCGAATTATGGCATTTGACTTTGTTGCAGTTGTTTGTTTATATCACCCTGTATTCGCCGTAGGACATTATTAATCCCCCCCCCCCATGAAGCCACTGTGCCACAATGTTTCATCTTTAATTTTGTGGTAATGCAAGGAAGCTGGCTGCCAGTATTGTTGTTAACAACAGCCATTGTCTGGTAGAGACTAAAGGCTAAAGTCATTATCACCGTCATTGTCACTGTAACATGGCCACGGAAGACGGCGAAGAAGAACGTGAAGCAGCAACAGCAACATCCTCATCATCGTCATCATTACCACCACCAGGTGTATTCTACACATGAAGGTCTTGTCTATTCCTCTACTTAGGTTGATACTTTAATTCACGTTCACACACAAACACACGCCCATCTGGCCAAGTATGTGTATACGGCAGGTTACCTCTCATCCTTGCCCAACATTGCAACCTTAACTTAAATTCCTCACATATGGCGGGTAATTCGGTGTGTTAGAAATGATGCTACGGCTACCGCGTCTACACTACAGCTACTGCTCTAGAGGTACTTACTTGATGTACGGCTGATGTAATGCCACCAAACTGGCATGGATGCCCACACTGACGGCAGCCAAATGGAAATAGTCAAACAACACCGGCAGATGATAGTGGAGACCACGTCCTGGATGGAAATTCAACTGCAAAGTACGCGTCGAGGCCAATGCCAAATTGGATGCTGTGGCATTCTGTTCGGCGAACCACAATTCCAATTGTAATGAAAATTCTGCACGTTCTATGGATTCTTTTAAATGACGACTGTCAACTGTGTGTATGTGTATGTGTGTGTGTGTGAGTTTTTATTGTGTGCGTTTGTTTTGAATGAAATAGAAGAAGAAGAGAAAAAAGAAAAAACAATAAAAATTTTAATGAATAATTTTAGATAAGAAGGACGATTTTTTGCATTGCATTTTTAAATTAGGAAATAACAAGTGCAGAAGCAAGAAATTGCAATGATCAACTGACATTTTGCCATTAAAAATGTTTTAAAAAGTCCTTGACAAAGTATTCTTTAAAATATCATTAAAAATCAAGGTTCTGATTATTTGATAGTCCTTGAAAAATTTATAATTTCTAAGCTATTCATTGGCCAACCTACGTCCTTAAAAATGTTTCTTAACAAACCTATGTCCGGCAGATTTTTTTCATTGGATCCTGAAAAAATATTCTACCAAAATCCAAATCTGGTAGCTATCTTGGAAAGTTTTCTATCAGTAATTTAAAAACAAGTAAGCAAAGGCTACAGTCGAGCGGGGCCGACCGTTGAATACCCTACAACACTACAATAAACGATACAGTTTACATAGGCGTGATACTCGAAAGAATTCCACAAGATATTGTGACAAATAATAAAAGGTTTCGTTCTCTAATTTTCAATAAAAGCAACATAAACTAATTTGCTCATCTCCAATTTTTTGGTAGATGTTGCACGTAAATGGTCTTCCTGGATCTGGAACCAATATTTCCCAAAGACCCAAAATCTCTCAGAAGTGGCAAAAGATTAACATTTATTATTGGTTTTTGACTGAAACGCATCTATATGAGATACAGCCATTTGACTATATTCTTCAACGAAATCAGCGTTAACGAAATAGTCAGAAGTGCGTCTTTCCTGTGTTTGTGAATTCTCCAAAAAGTCACTGGAGTGGACATTTTCGTATTTTGTCTACAAAAGTTGGCAAACTCCTTCACACATTGAATATTTTTGGATGGCCATCACAAACTGCTTGGCTTTTGCAATGTCCGGTAACCTCTATTCAAATGTGCGTGAGGATCGGGCGATAATTACGACCTCCTGACAATTTTGCAGTTTTTTGGTCCATTTCAACCCCTAAGTATATGGCGATCATCTCCAAAAAGAGTAGGCTTCTATTCTGACCCTCATCTTATCCCCATGCAAAATTTCGTAAGGATCGGGCCATAAATGCGATCTGTATATGATATCCTGATACCCTAACTACTTAGTTTTGTTAGCTGTAGAAATATTCCCAAAAGTTTAATTCAAAATGAAAATATGCCAAAAATATGACAAAATTGAAAAAATATAAGGAAATTTACAAAATCAATATTTTCATCTTTAGATCGATATTTTTATGCGATTTTTCTTTTCTGCCAAAAGGCCATTCTGAATTAATGAGAACTGTCGAAATCAGTTCAACCGTTCTCGACATAAAATAGATCTTTCAAGCATATCTTCATATATATCGCACATATTTTGCTATATATCTGATTTGTTGGATCTTAAAATCAATGTAAAGATCAAAAGTAACCCTGTCATGGCCTTGTGATTTCGCCGGGATTTAAAATATTCGCGGTTTAATGAAAAATGTCGAGTTTTTTCAATACAAAATATATTGTCTATTTTACCCGCTAAATATTATCCGATGACCACCCAAATTGGTAGGCTTCTTCCCCGCCCTAAACTCTGGCTACATGCGAAATTCCGCGTCGATTGGTCTATAATTGCGACCTGTATAGCTACTGCAAAATCCGATTTTTTTTCAGTATTTGGTCCATTTTAAACCCTAAACATTTGGCGATCATCTCCAAAAGAAGGGTTCTATTCTGACATTAACCCCATCTACATTTTAAATTTCGTGAAGATCGGGCCATAATTGCGACCTGTAGAGTGATTACAAATTAACATGGACAGACGGACGGACGGACATACATAGCTAGATCGACTCAGCGAGCTAGGAAGATCCATATATACTTTCCTATATGGGAAACCAATATTTCGAGGTGTTACATAAATTCTGGCCCAATCAAACTTATAATACCCCCAACACATAGTGTTGTAGGGTATAAATAGTTATTCTATAAAGAACAAATAGAGAACTTACCATAAATATTATAAAATACCAAGAGAGCTATTTTTTTTCTGGAGCCAATGGCGATTTTTTGGGAACTTTTAAGGACCAATAGAAACAGTCGCATCAGTCTGATGGGGTCTGAAAAACATTTCTTTGGAATTCTCTATCAATATCACAAAAAAATATTTTTCGGTTCATGTTCGGTGGCTCTGTTTTTCTTGAAAAATATTCCTGGAAACACTCCGTCGGTCCATAAGAAAATAGTATTGAATAAAAATTTATGGAAAATTCCTTATTAGACCTTCAAAAAATTTATCTAAAAATGCCAAATTTTCTTGGTCTATTTGTCTATCGAAACTGTGTCAATTTTTGAAAAAAATTGTAATAGTTTTGTAACAAAATGGTCAAAAAATCCTCAATCAATAACCTCCTCGTCATCGTCCTTTACAAATTAGTTCTTAGAAATCCAGTTTCGTGGGCTTAATAGTCATTTAAAAAGTTCTTGAAAAGATGAATCAACATCCAAGTTTCGTCCCTGAAAAATACTCCTAAAAAATGCGAATGGTTTTGAAAAACTACAGGGTAAGATAAAAAAAAAAACTACAACCAATTTCAGACTGCTGTAATTTCTAAGCCACTCGTCCGACAGCTGTTAAAATAATTCCAGTGACAACTCATTATATTGTTTACAAGCGTACAAAAGCATTTTGTTTAGAATATTCCAGAAAAAAGTTATTCGCGATGGAATTCAAGCAACAAGAAAAAACAACATCAGCACAAATGGTTCGAAAAGTAAAGAAGCGACTTGATCGAAACCCGCGTCGCAGTGGCCGAAAAATGGCTCGTGAGCTGAACATATCGCAATATCTCATTCGGCAAATATTAAAAAGGAAATTAAAAAAAAAAAATTAAAAGGAAAGGAAATAGATTCAAAAGAGTTAAAGAGATGCTTCGCTTGTCCGAAAGTGGTGAACTGCCGAATTTGGTGTCTTCGATGAGAAAACATCCGTTGTCCAGCAGTTTGTAAGCAAACAAATTTATCATTTTTACTTGCTAAAGAGGTCAGCTGAAAATGTGTACCTTCGGTTGGCCACCAGAACTCAAGCGCCGGCCATGGTGATGGTGTGGGCCGCCATAACAGCCGATGACCGCTCTCTGCTCGTATTAACGCGAAAATATTCTGGAGGGTGTATTAAAGCCTTGGGCACGCAAACATTTTGGCCGCAGACCTAGGACATTCCAGCAGGTCTCAGAACCATCGCACTTAGCACGCGCCACACAAGAATGGCTACAAAATGAGGTTCCTCGCTTCATTTCCAACGCTCAATGGCCACCAAAATCTCCGGATACAAATCCGTTGGACTATTGTGCCTGGAGTGTTTTGGAAAGCAAGATTGGCATTAAAAAATACCAAAGTGTCGATCACCTCAAGCAAGCGCTTCGCCGGGAATGGGCCAAGATACCGCAGAGCAACATTCGGGCAGGGTGTAACGTTTTCATTGGCCGTTTTAAGGCCATAATTCGTGCCAAAGGTGACCAATTCGAAATCTAATCTAAACTTATTCTAAAATTTGATGCTATTTCCCACATTTTTTGCTTTCATTCAATACAATTATGTTTGACTTTTTTGCAGTTTTTTTATCTCACCCTGTTATCTTATTAATCCACCGTTAGTCTTTAAAAAAATATTCTTAAATATCTACGTTTGGTCCCTCCGAAAATATATTTAAATAATCTACTATAAATCCTTGAAAAATATTTTTAAGGGCCGTTAGGCCTTAAAAAAATATAACTAAAATTCTAGGTTTGGTCCTTAAAAAAATATCTTTAAAATCGAAGTTTGATCCTTGAACTAATAATTCTAATAGCCCACATTAAGTCTTAGAAAATATTATTTTAAATAAATTGAAGTTGAGTCCTTGAAAACTTATTTAAAAAAAAATATACACGTTTGGTGTCTAAAAAATATTCTGGCCTTAATTGTCACTGAAGAAATATTCTAAAATCTCCAGGTTTGGTTTGGTAAAAATAAATTCTCAAAAATGCACTTTAGATTCTTTAAAAAAAAAATCTAGATTTGATTCTTAAAAAATGCTCTTAAAATGCAGGTCTAATTCTTGAAAAAATATTTTCATATTTTGTATTTTTCACATTTATATTGAAAAACCCACGTGTGTTCCTTGAAAAATCATTCTCAAAAATGTCAGGTTGTTCCTTGAAGGAATAACCTTAAAAATACGCCTTTGGTCCTTGAAAAAGCATTTTTGAAGAATCCACGTTCAGTCTTTTAAATTATTTTGAAACATTTAAAATTTTCCTTGATAAAATATTACTTAGATAGCCATGGCTGGCCCTTAAAAAAGTTTGTTCGGCAAATACCCGGTTAATTCTTGAAAATTATTTCGAAGATTACAAATTGGACATTTGAGCAAATATCCAAAAATATCCACCTTAAGTGTTCAAAAAAATATTTATAAAAATGTACGTTATTTAAAAATCGAATTTGGTGGTCGTTGAAAAAATATTAAAAATCCTACTTGGATCCATGGTCCACTTTTGATAGTCCTTAAGGACACTAATGTTGACAGATCATGAAAAAATATGTTTACTACTCGGCATTGGTTAGTCCTTGATAAAATGTTCTTAAAAAATAATTTTTTATGGTTCTTAAACCAATATATAGTGCTCAAAAGGACTAGATCCATATGGTGTGGTCCTTTAAAAATATTCTTTAAAAATCCTTCTAGAAAGCTCTGGTTCGCCCTGGAGAAATCCTTGTTAAATTCACTCATGAATCCCAAATTAAGAAAATATTAAATAATTTAAATAAACAATTATAACTTCAGTAGACCATGTGCCTCTAAAAGTGTATCCTTTTAGGCTGAGTACAAAGACCTCAGCGACTAAATGTCTCGCAGAATTTGTAGCCTTGAATTAACAATCCAACAATCAA